GAACTCCTGCTCTGCAGTCTCAGAGGCTGCGGTGCCGGTACAGGAAAGCACACGCAGCAGGATTCTGATGGGACAAACAGACTGTGCAAAGTTAGGAAGTGGTTGGATTGGGGTGCTGCCATTTGCTTATTCAATTATTTTTTTAATTTAATTTTATTGTAACGATGCTGTACATAGGGGTTACCGTTACATGAGTAAGGCAATGAGTACAGTTCTTGTCGAGCATTGTTACCCCTTCCCTTGTTTTCCCACTTTCTTCCTTCCCCCCCCCCCCCCCCCCCGGCGCCAACTCCTCCCTGCTTATTCAGTTATAATTTGCTATTCCCATTTTGTCCTTTAACATTTCATTCTGCCAGGCTCAGGAGTTAATTTTAGGATAAAATTGAACTGATAACAATGAAGTATATTTAAAGATAGGCAAAAACTTAGTAAGGACAAAGCAAAGCTTAAATCCATATGTGTGAAACACTTAAGAATGGATCTCCATTCTCATTAATCTTAATGTTAAAATGTAACTGTTTCAAAAATGTACATATTAACTTTAAATATGAACCAGAACCATCTCCCAGATCTATTTGGGAGAAGTTAACCTTATGAAAGTTTAGAAGTCGGTGACATAGTTGAAGAGGGATGGATTCTGGAAATTCTGCAGAGGGTTTTGAAGAGGAAGAGTGGGCCTTGCCCTGTTAAGGTGCCTCACCTGCTATGCTCCAGTCTCCAGGCCAGAGTAGGGACCATGCTGTGGTGATGGGCTGAGAGCCAGAGGCTCTCAGAGGCCTTGCAAAGTGGAAAGGACCCTTGAAGACATCCCACTGCTGCATACATGCATCTGGTAGAAGGGGCTTCAGCGGTTCTGGGTGGTGGCTGAGGGAAGGGGCTTTGCGCCTACCTATGGCTTCTCCCCAGAGAAAATCTACAAGGCTGGAACAGATGCTTGTGTTGTCTGTACCTGGCCTGGAGTGTGACACTTGGGGAACCCACAGACCAATTTAGTCATCTTTGCATTTATGAGATGCGGAGTAAACCCAAGGCTGAATCTAGATCCTTAAATTTTAATTTACAGCTGACAGGCTGAGTACAATAATAAGCTTATACCACTTAAAGGCTTCACCAATGCTATTTCTTCCTTTCGTAATTAAGAAAGTCTTAAGTCTACTTTCGTGTTGCCGCAGGTGTTTGGGGATTTTGGAACCACCAGGAGAGCTGTTCACCTGTTCCTAAATCCTTCAGCTCCTCTTGATTTCCTGTTCCAAACACAGCTGGGGCAGTGGCTGCAGCTTTGGCTTGTCTGCTTGTCCCCCTGGCCACCCTCCCAGCTGGTCAGTGCTCTGGAGAAGGGTTGTCCATCCAGGCAAGGACAGCAGCTCCCCTGCAGATAGATTATCTCTGCTTGTGTCTGAAGCTACTAGAGGGACACCCGTGTCCCTGGGAGTCCCTGCTTAATCTCAGGGCAGCAGGTGCAGACAAGCATTGTGGTGTGACAGGCTGGTGTACGCTAGCTGCTGGCCTTGTCTCATGTGGAGCTTGTGGCTGACCACAGGCAGACCCTCCCCAGATTCTTACAAGATCCTTCATGTCTCAGTTTGTGTCATTTTGGTGCTGCTTGTGACCTGAGAAATTGAGATGTCCTTTAAGCTACAGAGTCCTTGTCCTAGTCATGTGGACTATTTCAGCCCAGCTAACTGGATCCCCAGGACTGTACAGTTTAGCAATTTTCAGTAACTGAGCAATGAGACTCAAGGCCTGATAGGTGCAAATTATGTTCATTTAGCTCAGGCTAGCCTTGAACTTTTGATCCTCCTACCTCAGCCTCAAGTGCTGGGATAACAGGCCTGCAACATTATACCCAGATCCCAGAACACTTCTCTTGGACTTCATTTTGTGCTGACTATATATGTTGAGTCCTCTGAGCAAAGTAGGGCACGTAGCAATCTTGGTACCAGACTTGTGATTCTGAAAGTGATTTTTAAGTACAAGTGATGGTTCAGACTTCTGAAAAAAGCCACAAAAGCTTGCTCTGAAAAACAGAACACTGAAGATATAAGAGTAAAACATGAAACCAGATCTCTCTCCAAATGTGGAAAGCATAAAGGAGTTTGCATTTCTTCCCAGACATGGGAAAGGCACATAAAGAGAAGTCTGTTCTCCACATTCATCCACTTGGCTGCTGGATAACCTGATCTACTTTTTTTTTTTTTTTTTACTTTGTCTTAGGCTTTGTAATGCTTGGCTCATGATAAAGTGATTTTTTTTGCAGCATTTGCTTAAGACCACTGGGGTGTGGGGAATATCACTCACGCATTCTGCCTAATGGCTTTTCCATCTTCCTGTTCTGTAACCCTCTTTCCTGGTGTGCTGGCCCGTGTCGTGGCAGGCATGTACCTGGCAGAAGCTCCATGTGCTAGTGCGTACGTATAGCTGGCACAGACAAAACCAGGATGCAGACAGACACAGAATGGGTGCTCTTTGTGAGCTGGGATGAGGCGATTTGTGGGGCCTGTGTGTGCTGAAATTGCTGTTGTTACTTGCAGCTCTGATCAGAGGCCCGTCGTCGCCTCATCGCGGTCCCGGCTGGCCTTCTCTGTGTCTGTGCTGGACCTCGACCTCAAGCCCTATGAGAGCATTCCTCACCAGTATAAACTGGACAGCAAGATAGTCAGCTATTACACAAAGACTGTGCATGCCAAAGATGATGCTGTGGTATCGACCAGGTTCAAGGAAAGTGAAGACTGCACATTAGTTCTACATAAGGTCTAACTTTTTTCCTGCAGTGTCTCTGAACTGGAACGTGAAGGTTGAAAGATAAGAGCTATTTTCTATCGTGGTAGGTGACTTTTGGCTGTGAATACTTTTGTTTTTAACTCTTGTTGGAGACACAGAATTGGAGAGCACTAGAAACATCTTCCAGGACAAGGAATGTAGGACACGGTGCTGTGTCCCAAGAAGCCTCCTGCATTCTGAAGATGGAAGTGTCCGTTAAGCCCTGGGAAGACATCCTGGGGAGTTGTTCTTCCTTCTGGCCAGGGCTCAGGTCGAATTCTCATGCGAAAAGCCTTAGTGTAAGCCCCAAGGTTTGGATCTCCTACTACCAGACTCCTGATGTAGAAAACTTGAATTGTCACGAGCATCTGATAGTTTGGACTTCTGAGAAAACATGGAAACTACTGGAACTTGCCAGGCTGTTACTGGTCACTTTTTCAGTGCAAGCCACACATCAACACAGGCTTTAGGTGATTCCCTGCTGTCAGAATGACCAGGGATTAGTGAGGATATCAGTTCTGAGTAGTCTAGACTCAGGGTCCCTGTGGAGGTACCGAAGCCCTCAGCTCCGAGAAGGGTCAGCCAGGGAGTCGGGTTGGGATTGACACGACTCACACGAGCATGGCTTTTGTTTTGGCTTCAGGATTTTATCTTCACTGTAGGGGAGAAAAGGTGTCTTCCCTGCCTGAAATTGCTGCTGTGGAAGCTGGAAGCATAGCTGTAACTTGCTGCTGTGGCTCTGGGGTGGGTGTGATGGGCCTGCCTGATAGCCCAGAATTTTCCTGGCACTCTAGGGTCTTGGGTGGTTGAGGAATTGAGGTTTCCTTTCCTCCCAGGCCACATTGTTCTCTCGGTTTGCCTGGAGGCATGTGGAGTGTGTGGCCCAGGGCCTTGCTGTTTCCAGCAGGCCGCTGAAGGCTCCTAGCTGGCGCCACTGGGGGGAGGGGGGGGGATGGCGGGGGAGGGGGTCACCGAAAGTGTGCCTGGCTGCTATGAAATCATTGGGAATCTTGGCTTCATTTTTTATTCTATGGTAGCTTGTACAGACTGATTATTTATATCATTGTTTTGAGGGACTAATGAAGGCTTATTGTAACATAAGTGAAACCATGAAATTGTATGAAAATGCTACATGAAAAATGAGGAAAATATTTTGCTGATTAATTTTTTTGTGGGAAATTTTGTGATAACTTGAGAATTACATTTGTTTGAATCAAGCCAGTTGTTGTAGAATTTCTTAAGAATGCTGTGCTAATATTTACTGTTCCATACTCAGGTATTCTTATTCATTTGAACACTTAGCACTTTCCCCGGGTTTTGCTGTGTATGCTGGATGGGGGATTGGAGATTGCGCCTCAGTCACATGCATGGAATTCATGCTTTTGTACCTGTGGAGCCCATGCAGGGAAGGCAATCTTGTCAGTATTGACTTGAGGTGGTTCACTATGGCTGATCTGAGATTGGGCTGGCTCTGATGCCATTGTGTATGGTCTGGGCCCTGAGTTTGCATGCTCCTGAGCATCTGAGAAGGGTGTTCTGGAATCCTTGGCCTCAGCCAAGCTGCTGTGGCAGGGCCCAGCCTTGCTGTGTACACTTGCTGTTGTACGCAGACTTCAGGTTATCCTGATGGTGGGAAAATAACTGCTTATGGTCCTGACAGTGGTGACTTGAAGGGTCCATCAACATTCAGTTCTGCATATGAGAGGCTGGTAGTGTACTTAGATCTCATGGTGGGTCTGTGGGGCATGGTAGCAGTGAAACCCAAGGTCTTGTACACTATCACTAAACCACAAACTCAACCAGGTGTGTGTGTGTTTGTTTGTTTTCTTTTGAGACAGTCTTGCTATAGCCCAGGCTGGCCTTGAATTTAAAGTCCTCCTGAGTGCTGAGATTACAAGCGTGGACTACCACTCCTGGCCTGGGAGCGGGTCTTCAGACTTGGGCATTGTTTTTAAAGCTAACTGTCCTACTTTCCTTTGTGGAAGACCAAGAACATCAGGACTTGGTGAGAGATACTGCTTTGCAGACTGGTGGCTGGGTGTGGGTCCCCTGGGATTGGAGGAATGTTTAGGAAATGAAATCTCATTGGTAGTTACTCCTAGAGCCTGGTGGCAGGAGTTGGGGGAGGTCAGGGCATAGCTCCTCCATATCTATCCAAGGACAGAAAACCACTCTTGGTTTAAAAAATAAAATAAAAACAGTGAATATCTGACATTGTATTTAAATTGCTGTATTTTTAATGTCAGAGTTTGCATCTAGTGTACCATGGCTGTATACATGCAGCATATCTCAGGGTGTAGATTCTGAGTATTCATGTTCAGTCTAAGTCGCTTGCATCTTACTCAGCACAGCATGTTAGCCCTCTGGGAACTAGTCGTTTCTCATACAAAGCAATTTATCAGGCTCTCTAGAGCAGCTTCAATTCCCAGTGTTCCTAGTAGGGTACGGAAGTTGAGTGGAGCAGTTTCTATGACTCTCCTCTTATCCAGTTGGAGGGCTGTGGAGAAAACACAAACTGGGTAATAAACCAAGGTATTTGTGTCACCAAGACCTTTCTTCCTCCAGACAGAAAATGGAAGCCTGAAACAGGATAGAGATGAGTGGAATGGAAACTTTACCTGTAGCTCCAGGCTAGAATTTTTCTTCTTTAAGCCTGGGAGGGCAGAGGAGACAAACCCTTGGAGTGGTTAGTGTGTGTGTGTGTATGTGTGTAATTTTTTTCTCAGCAGGGCAAAATTTACTTATATGCAGAAGAGTAAGCCGTTGGCAAGCAAGCACCTAAACTTATTTTAAAAACTTGTAGCTAAAGTATATTAATGAAATTTTTTATTCTCACAATGTAAAACCAGATGAGACACACAGTGGCTTTGGGCACCGAGGCCTACCTTGGTGAGGGACTTTGGTAAGGAGATCCAGCTTTGGCAAAACCTTTCCTTCTTCATTTATTTGTATCCTCCAAACCACCATCAATTCAAACCTGAGAGAGACCAAACATCCAGTGCTTTTGAAGTGTGATTAAAAGATGTAACTTAGCCGGGCGCCGGTGGCTCATGCCTGTAATCCTAGCTACTCAGAAGGCTGAGATCTGAGGATCGAGGTTCAAAGCAGGAAAGTCCCTCAGATTCTTATCTCCAGTAAACCACCAGAAAACCGGAAGTGGCGCTGTAGCTCAAGTGATAGAGCGCTCGCCTTGAGCTGAAGAGCTGAGGGACAGTGCGTAGGCCCAGAGTTCAAGCCCCACGACTGACAAAAAAAACCCAAAAAAACCAAAACCGTGTAAGCAACCTGGTTTCCATCTGTCTTTGCTGGGCTTGCCTGCTTTTAAAGGTACTTGTCCATGGAGGAAGACCAAGTATGAGTCCACAGGATGGTGGAAAGCAGGGCCACAGCTTTGTACTCACTGCAAGAGGATGTGCAACAACAGGCCTCCCCCTCCACCCCCCCGCCCCGGGGCCTGGGCTTGAACGCGTCCCTGAGCCCTCTTCATGCTCAAAGCTAGCATTCATTCTACCACTTGAGTCACACTGCCACTTCTAGAATCAAACCCAGGGCTTCATGCATGCTAGCATTCTACCACTAAGCCACATTCCCAGCCCTGCAACAGGAACTCTTAAGGCATTGCTGGTGGGGATGACAATGGCTTATTAGCATTGACAGCTGTGCACACACCACTCCATGATTCAGGAATTTCAGTATCTACACCCAGGAGAAACCTCTATGCAACATGAAAGGAGAAGTAAACTGGAACGGAGAGCCCAGACCCTCCAGACCTGAAAAATGTAACAGACATTTTGGTCTATTCACTTAGTAGACCATGAGCGGTGAACTGCAGTCACATGAAGGCAAGAACCTTAAAGGCTTGAGAACAAAGCATGGCTGAGCATTCACATGCAGGTTCTGAAGCACACGTGCACAGATACACAGGTGCACATGCAGAGGCAAGAGGATGGCAGATGAGAGAAAATGATGGGCTTGAGGGTGATGAAGGGAAACAGCTGCTAAGGGGAGCTGGGTGCTTGCTTTTCCACCTTTAGCTTCTCAGGGGCTTTCCATGAGCTCCTGCTCCCTGTCTTTCATTTCTGTAGTAACAGTGGATCTATACACAGATTTCTATCTTCCCTGGTAAGGTAGAGTGCTATCCCGTGCTGGCCTTTTACAGCTCCACTCGTCATCCTGTCCTTCCCTCACTCATTTCTAGTCTAAATTTCCTCTGCTAGGTAATTTACGGAGTGAAGCAGAGTTGGCTTGCTTCCAAAGTTTGAGTATCTACTATGATTGCTTTCCATAGATGGTGCTCAGTCCTCATTCAGTGCTTTATGTTTAGCTTTTCTACAGCTCATCTTTGTTGCACAGGGGTGTAAGGCTATGGTGCTGTGTACTTACCCAGGTTGGCTGGCACTGCGGATCTCCATGCAGTGTGAGCTGGGCCCCTCTGAGAGGTGCACGGTGCTTGGGTACTTGTCCTGTATGGGGAGAGAAATGGTTGTAGGCAGATCATCTTGAGGGAGCATGGGGCTGGGTCCAGGGCCACTGACTGGCCAGTCAGAGACACTTTTGGGGTTGAGATCTAGGTATTATACGTACTGTTTGCTAGAACCCCTGCCCTCACTGGCCACCATCCAGTCATCATCTTACTGCCCCGTGGTTTCCAGGCTCCCTTTATTGTCACCTTTCCCAGGGTTAACACCTCCGGTAGGTAACCCCTGTGCGACTCCATTCTAACTTGCCAGTTTTTTTCAGCCACTTCCCATCAGGAAGTTCAGGGTTTTGGCATCTGCCATCAAGGCCTTCTAAATGGAAGCTCTTTGAAGGCAGTGGTTGCCATTCTGCCACAATGAAAGCTCCCAACACACCTAAACCTGGTATACTTCTTGGCACAGGCAGGATCCCCCCAGGTACCCCAACCGTGGTGGAAGCACATGCTGTGTCACTTCCTGGTTGCAGGTTTCCTCTCACATGACATGACGACTCAACTATGTCTATGCATCTGTTATCCTGGGAGCTTCTATCAGATTATGTCATTATGACAGTGCTTGCTTTATAGGTGTCTAAACAGAAGCCCTATTCTGTAAGAAACAGTGGCCCCAAAATGCCTGTCCTTTCTTCTGAGGACACACTGCAAGATGAGAGGTCTTATGTCGGACTCAACAATGCAAGATCCTAAGGGCAGCCTTTGAAAGACTTTTTTCATATGACTCGGTGCTTGGTGGAGGGTTGGTGGCCTAAGGTGATGCTTCAAAGGGCAGGCAGCAAGTTGGAAAGCCCTGTGGGACCGGGGGGCAGGGCTGGGACCTGGGGCCAGAGCTTGCTGGGTTGAACCAGCTTAGCAAATGAGGTTGTATGGGGACAGAGATGCGTCAGACATTTAAAAGAACCAGTTCCGTCTCAGTGAGCAGCTGCCAGTGCTCCATGAAGCCACCAACAGAGAGCACATCCAGACACCAAAACTGGAGTGGGTCTGGTGTACGCTTACAGATAATTACTAATTTCAGCAAAACAAGTTTTAGGAGAAAATATATATCTCAGTGATTTAAGTGGAAAGTACTGGTTAAGTTTTAAACAGCAGCCTTTTCCTAATTAATAACAACTGTTTGAGGAATGTAAAGGAGAGTGTGTGAACGTGGCAGTTTAGCTTCCAAGCTGTGCTTGGCGGCAGCTTGTAGGACTCCAGGGAGGGCTGGGGGCTTGGGCTGCCTCCAGTGTGGGGCCTGAGGCTGAGCCTCCAAGTGGAAGAGGACAGATCTCCGCCCCCCAAACAAAAGAGAATTCAGATGAGAAGTTTCACTAAACAAGCAAGCATATTCCCTTAAAAAAATTTTTTTTAAAGCCCAAAGTAGAAATATGGATATTGGGAAGAGGTCAGACACTCAGCATACGCTTCTGAAGAATTGGACTTGTGTGAAAAGTCCCATCTGTGTAAGGCAATAGTAGTGTCACTCCATCTATCCTGTTTCATTCGCTGAGAGGTAACTCTGTCCCAGAGCGCAGCTAGGAATAGAAGGAAGCAACTAAGAGCTGACAGGATAGCCCTGTGGACATCAAGAGGGAAGCCTTGTTACAATCACAGGTAACCAGAAGTACTGTAAAGTCCAAGTCTCAGCAGAAGTGCACAGCTAGCTTAGCACAGGAGAGGATAGGAGTTGTGATGAAAAGTGTTAGGTATCTTTTTTTTTTTTTTTTTTTGCCGGTCGTGGGGCCTGAACTCTGGGCCTGGGTGCTGTCCCTCAGCTCAAGATTAGCGCTCTACCACTTGAGCTACAGCACCACTTCTGTTTTTTTTTTCTGCTTATGTGGTGCTGAGGAATCGAACCCAGGACCTCATGCATGCAAGGCAAGCATTCCACCACTGAGCCACCTTCCCGCCCAGTTTTAGGTATCATTGTATTTCACATTGATAAAAGACAATCAAATTGGCCAAGGGTTAAGACCTGATAAGGCAGAGATATGTACAGGATAGCTTAGAATACCTTCTGGGAAAAATGCTTGCACACCAAAAGGCTATTCAGAAAACTATAAATCTAAGAGCACCAGTGGCTCACACCTGTAATCCTGGTTATTCAAACAGCTGAGAGTTAAGGTTCAAAGCCAGCCTGGAAGACAACTCTGATAGACTCTTACCTCCAGTAGAAAAAAGCCAGAAGTGGAAGTGTGAAAAAGCCAAAGGAGAGGCCTAGAATTTAATCCCTAGTGCCAACAACAAACTATAAACCTGATCTGCAAAGGACCTTAGATGGCCAGGCTCTCAAAGGTCAGTCTCAGACCTGGGAATCTGTTCTGGGTACAGTGTGATGGCTGTGGTTTGGAGGAAAAGTACTGGAAGGCTATAGGAGGGGTCTTGTCCCAGCCTTGTGAGTTCTAACCAGCAGGCAGGCACTAGCCTATCTGCGTTGGGGCCCCAGGGAAGGTCCTGAGCCCCACTGAGGAATGCCAAGGCTGTGATTTAGATGGTGTTTATTCAGGTGCTGGCCATCTGTGAGAGTTTGCATTTGTGGGGCTTATGAAAGGAAAATGGCTGTGGGAATGCTGGCAACTTGATCCAGTCTGTCTCACCTGAGACCCCATGCTGGTGCCGTGGCTTCTTGATGCTTTACAGAAAGCCTCTGTGTTAGATTTCAGTCACAGCACTGCAATGGTAGTAGCTGGTGAACCGTTGAATCCTGTGGGCATTATGGATGTCCATAGACCATTGATTTATCTCGAATGTTTTCCCACAGGTTATTCTCTCACTGACTCAATGATTTAAAAAAATATTTGTATAACAAATTCATTTCTTTAAAGGGCATAGTTGAGTGGATTTTGGTATATTTACAAGGTAATAAGCACAACCTCATCACTTTCTAATTCTAGAAGGTTTATATTACCCCATAAAGAAACTCTTGCCCCCAGCCAAGTCACTAACATACTTTCCTAAGTAGAGGTAGATTTCCCTATTCTGGGTATTTTGTATAAGAGGAACCACCCACATGTGCTTTTCTTTCTGGCCATGCCTCCAGCCATTTTTGCTTTAGTTATTTCTTAGATAGGGCCTTGCCAGATATGCCAGGCTGGTATGGTCTGCCATCTTCCTGTCTTGTGCCTTCCTCATCCTTTGAGGTTCCGTGTTTGATGAGCCAGTTCATGACCATCCAACAGTGCCCGCTGAACCTCACCACCAGCTCCTCTGCAGCAGGAAGGGGGGCACTAGCTTCAAAACCTCTAACCATGGGGACAACATAGACACTATCCATCAGACACTGGTACCCTAATGCAAATGGGTCCTCTGGACTTTTTGGTCATGTGAATCAGGCTACAGTCCGTTGGGGAGATGGGAGACAGGGTTTTCAGACTGTCATAAACTAGAGGAGGGTTGGCTATTCTACATCAATTTCCAGATCAGTACAGCCTCTGCAAGGGAAAGCAAAATGTCCACATACCATCCAACTGAAATGTTAACAAAGCCCCAGGCTGTCCGGCTGGATGGACAGTGCTGACCTTTAAATCTTTTGATTACACAGAGGATGGAAAGACTGAATTTCCAAGTCTAATAGTGTGGACTTACAACCATTTTCTCTCAAACTATAATTTTCAAGTAAATATTACATGAAATAACATAAACAGAGCTGAATGAAGGAGTTACATTGCCAAATTACATCCTCTAACCCAAATTATCTGAACTTTCCTGGACATAGTCCTGAGGATTTGAGACACACATAAAAAACAGAGGCCCAGCCACACGTCTGCAGCCTAGAGTCATCTGCTTGTGAAGAACAATGGGTGCAGAGCTCGCAGCTCAGGAAGTGTTCACATCTCCCTGGAGGGCTGGGGGGGTTGGAGGTTAGACACCGTCAACAATGAACTCAGCATCCACGACAAGCTCCTCTGGGACCGGCATTGCCAGAAGCATACATGAAAATAACTGGGAACAGCTGAGGACGTCGTGGCAAGTACTGCTGTTCCAGAGGGAATTTAAAAATGTGTGCTAAATGTTGCTTAGAAAAACAAACAAGCCCTTGAAACAAGCTCTTGACGGTGGATGATGAACCTGGGAAAATGAACATGAAGCTCCCAGGACTGGAAGGCCCAGCCTGGGTGTGCCTAGGGTCATCTTGAACTGATGTCTCAGAACCTGCTCAGGCTTGTGTCAGACATTCTCCAGGCATGAGCCCTACCCCACCCCCGGTGCCTCAACTCCAGGAGGGGCCTTTCTTCCCTTTATCCACTCCTTGCACAGTTTTGGGATGAACTAGTGGGAACCTGGGGACCTCTGGGGTGGGAGAGATCCAATTCATTGGAAATAGAGTCCAATGGCATTTTTGAAGTAAAGATTTTGGGAATTTTAATAATAGCCAAGTCAGCCCGAGTGAGCAGCTTATGTCACTAGGAAGACCAGAATGGGGACAACACAGGAGGTTCCATGTCCCTGGCTTCTGTATGGCTCACAAGCTAAAACTGGTTGGAAAAAAGGCTTTTGTGACCTATGAAAACTGGAGGTCAAACATCAGTGTTTATTTGCACTTGACTGGCCTAGTCAGGCTCAGCTGTGGCTGCTTTTGTGCTGCAGTGGTGGAGCTCAGTGTGTCCAGGCTACAAAGTCTGCTCAGGCCAGTCACACTGTGCAGAAGGCGCAGATCCTAGGGGTGAGGTGATCTTGGCAACTTGTGGCACTGTAAGATGTTTGAGACAAAATACCAGCCCAGACAAGCCAGCTGGGAAGCTAGAGGCGACACTGGGTGGAAGGGAATCAGGACATGTCCCTGTGCATGGAGCACAGGAAACACATGTAAATTTCCTTTTGGGAAGTGACCCTAGGAAATAGAGCAGATTAAAAAACAATGTTCACTACCCAATCATTCCAGAGGACATAGCGATCATTGAGCCAGGGCTCTCTTGGGAGAGGGAGGCTTGTGTATCTCCTGTTGACCTCAGTCCCCAAGCCTAAGATGAGCTTTCTTCTCTGTCACCTCCTTGTCCCTGGGATTCATAT